ACCCCACCCCCCCCCCCACCCTGCCAGTACCCCCCACTGCACCACACCATGCCCCCTCCCCACACACTGCCTCCCTTCCACTGTGCCAGTACCCTCCCCCACACACTGCACTGCACCCCCTCCCCACACCGTGCTGCCACCCATTTCCATACCCCCTTCCTCTTGCTCATGCCCACTCGGCTTGTGTCCCCCCAACTCACTCCTGCCACTTCCCATACACAGCAGCCTCCCGGACACGGCACTTGCTCCTCTCCCCCATTCCAGGCCCTGGCGTCACCAGGCCTTCCGGCTGAGGGAGAATTCCTGGTGCTATCACCACTGGCCAGCAGATAGCGCCCATCCCCTACTCCCTGACCTGGTGAGCTCTGCTCTGGGACTTCACACCGTGCCCTCCCTTGGGTGGGGAACGGATCCTCGCTATCCCACGGCAAGCCAGAGCGCACAGAGCCAGGATTTGCACCTCTCCAGCCTGTTGAGGGGCAAGTGGTTCAGTGGGCAGGCAGTGGGGGAGGCAAGGAGAGGCATGGAGGGGCACTCCCCCACTGATCTACACCCCCACAAGTGCCCCACTCCTGAGGAACCCTGCACTCCCAAAATGCCGTTCCCCTAACACCATCACAAGCAACCGCACAGATCAGGCCAGGTCCCCAGGGGCTCTGCGGAAAGAACGGAGCCATTACACAGCCATTCAATTACAGCCCAGGAGGTCCCCAGGCGCAGGCCCCAGGCAGCTTCTTCCAGACCAGCCTGGGAAGAAAAAGATTCTCGGGGGGTACCAGAGGAAAAGGTTTCAGGGAGGAAGAAGAGCCAGCAACAGGATTCATGGGGCTAGAGTCAGAGGCAACCCAGGAGCTGCAGGGCAGAAGGGACAGGGAGGGGGGCAGAGTGAAGGTGTAACATCCACAGGTGAACCTGCACCTCTACCACTTGAGGTAAAAGTCAGCTGAGGCTGGAGCTCAAACTCTTTCTCTAAGTGGTCTAAGGATCACTTCATGGGGCAGCGAACCCCAGTAAGAGTGTGGGTTACAAAAGCACCTGGCTTTGGCAAATAAAATCTTGGGGGTACATGAGCCCTCGTACCCCCTACATCACCTTTTCACAGAGTCATAGGACTTAGAAGGGTCTACAGCGGTGTTCCCTATATAAGCCATGTGCTTGTGTGGCCACTCAAGACAGCGTCCCAACCGATTAGCCAAGTGCCCACGGCTAGGCGTTGTGTTTCTATTGGTGGTGCACATTCACACATGCCTCTGTGCACAGAAAATTATTCTGCACATGAAAGGAAAAGATTAGAGGGAACATTGGTCTAGGGTGATCCTCTGTAAGAGGGGCCATAGGACGAGGCTGAGAATAGGACCAACCACATAGATCGTGTCTACAGCCGATCACGGTCCCAAAGGAGAAGTCCAAGAATAGGGAGCCATGGTTGGGGTTCTGCATAGGTGCCAGAAGGTGAATGGCAGCTTCTGGCCATGCTGGGACATGGAGAAGGGAACAATCATCAAGGCAAGAGGCGATCTTGGGGGAGGAGCCTCAGTAGAGGTGGAGCTCACAGACAACATAACAAGCAAAGGAGACTGAGGCCCTGTCCACACTACAGGCGTCACAGCGAAGATGCCGTAGCTTTGTTGCTGTAGCATACACACGGGCTACAGCGACTGATGGGGAGGTTCCATATTTGTGGCCACAGCACCGTGGCCGAGGGAAGCATTTGCCTGCCCACCTAGCCATGACTACACTGGGACTATTCACACCGAGTGCAGAAAGTGTGCCGGAGTAAGGCTAGGTCTGCACGACACACTGACTTCAGAACAGCTACGTCAGTTAGGGGTGTGAACCCCCCACTGAGGGGGACATAATTACACCAACCTAGCCCTCCGGGTAGAGTGCACGGAAGGAGAGCTGCTCGGATCCACATCGCTCCCAACCTCCCTCTCATTGGCCTAGAACATCTGCACTGCAGCACGGAGGTTTTAAGTGGAGTCCAGGCCGGGAGATGGAGGGCGGCTCAGGCAGGAGGAGGCCTAAGTTGCAAGCAGCAAGCAAGCTGAAGCAGGGGAGGGAATACCCAAGAGTTGCCAGGCCTCTGAGGCAGGACTTCCACCTCATGTTCAAGCCAAGAGCTGTCTTAGGACAGGCAGAGGGAGGGAGCAGGGAGGAGTCTAAAGGGACATGCAGCTAGTCATGGTCACAGCTAAAGGTGGCACGTAGGAGACAAAGGGCTTATCTATACCACAGAATTCAGTCAACTTCAATTAGGTCGACCTACAACCTCCACAGCGATTGAATCAGCTGTTGGTGTCTATGCTACCTTCCTTACTGGTGGTGCGCATCTCCCCTAGGAGCTCTTGCAGGGCACCTTGTGAACTAATACCAGCCGTGAAACTGACAAGAATGTTAGTTTCACTGCTGGTTGAACCCCTACTGAGAAAATGAGCCACCAGCTCAGAGCTAGGGCCTTTTCCCCCCCACCCTCTTCCCTGCAGGTGTTCCTATCCCCCTCCCTGCTGCCAGCACATCCCCCCACAGCTGTTACACTCTGCAAAATTTGTGATTTCTTCCTGCTCCTCCCCATGCCTCCAAACCCCCAAGCCTCCTTCCCCACCACCTGCAGCCTGGTCAGCATCCACCCTGCAGAGCTCCATCACCCCTACACCCCCTGTTCTTACCCTTCACCCTGCCCGTGGGACCCCCAAACACTTTTTTTTAAAAATTTGGGTAGGGGAGGAGGCTCCAGCTGTCAGCTCCAGGCAATAGAAGTAATGCAGCATACTAACTACATCGACCTAAGCGCTAGGCCTCTTGTAAAGGTGGAGATATTAGGTCGGTGTAGCGGAGGCTTTGTCAGTGGGAACCCTGACACTGACAGAATGTGATCAACTCTGTGGAGCAGACCAGGCCCAAGCCTGGGGAAGGCAAAGGGACAAGTGCAAGAGGGCCCCATTCGGCTCAAGGGAACAGTGCAGCGTAATGGACAGGGCAAGGCCCTTGCTTGCAGGGACTCTGGCACCTGCAAATCTAGGGACCAGCCCAGCTAAGCGCTCACTCACCTGGAGCTAGAATCCAGGAGAGTGAAAGGCAAAGTTGAGCCTTCGCCTTCCTCCTCCAGCAGGAAGGAGAATCTGATTAGCTACTTTGGGGAGCCATAGCCAGGGGATAACCAAGCCAGGGTGAGGAAAGGGGAGAGAGGGGGAGCAGGAGAGGAGAAGGGATGGAGGTGCAGGGGGTGGGTGGTCAGGAAAGAGGGCACAGGGGTCGATAGGGCATCAAGCGGAGGGCCAGGTGGCTGAGGGTGGCACAGTGACAAGACTGGCCGCTCCCAGGGACACAGCCTCACACAGCTCTTCGGAGGCGATTCTAGGAGCTGGTCCAGGGCCCGGCTTTGGCAAGGGCCCAAGGGAAGGGTCAGCGAGGGGAGGGATCAGTGTGGGTGGTCAGGAAAGAGGGCACAGGGGTCGATAGGGCATCAAGCGGAGGGCCAGGTGGCTGAGGGTGGCACAGTGACAAGACTGGCCGCTCCCAGGGACACAGCCTCACACAGCTCTTCGGAGGCGATTCTAGGAGCTGGTCCAGGGCCCGGCTTTGGCAAGGGCCCAAGGGAAGGGTCAGCGAGGGGAGGGATCAGTGTGAATCC